GTCTCCTTTTATGACCAGGTGACCGGCCTGGTGGGTGCAGGAAGGGCTGTGGATGTTGTGTACCTGGACTCCAGCGAGGCCTTTGGCACTGTCTCGCACAGCACACTGCTGGAAAAGCTGCAGCCCACGGCTGGGACAGGAGCACTCAGTGCTGGGTTCAGAACTGGCTGCATGGCCGGGCCAGAGAGTGCTGGTGAGCAGTGCTGCATCCAGCTGGGGCCAGGCACCAGTGGTGTCCCTCAGGCTCTGTGCTGGGCCAGCTCTGTTCAGTATTTTTACTGACAACATGGATGAGGGTGTTGAGTTATTTCATTGTAAATTTGCAGATGACACTAAGCTGTGTCGATCTGTTGTGGAGGATAGGAGGGCTCTGCAGAGAGACCTGGAACAGTTGAGTGGATGGGCAGAGTCCAACAAGATGAAGTTTAATGGGTCCAAGTGCCGAGTCCTGCATTTTGGACACAATAACCCTGCACTGCTGTAGGCTGGGTACGCTGTGGCTGGACAGTGCCCAGGCAGAAAGGGACCTGGGGGCAGTGGCTGCCAGCCAGATGAGCATGAGCCAGCAGTGTGCCCTGGGGGCCAAGAAGGCCAATGGCTCCTGGATCCTTTAATATTTTTCTTTACTGTTTTCGTATTTTACTGTCTAAAAATCCAAATGAACTGAGTCTAAAATGTACTTAGGAAATGTACATAAAAATCTCTTAAACATGTGGTTTCCTCAGAAAGAGATGCAGTTTGTGGAACATATTGCAAAAATTCTCCATATAGTGTTTTCCAGGCTTTGCTTTCAATTTCTTTTTCAGGAATTGTCTTTCTATTGTACCTTACTCTCTGCTTCTAATCACCATTCATATAGTATGTAATTCAAGTACTGGTAAAAATTTATGCTTTACCCTAAAAATACTCTAGTATGTTGAATTTTGTTTAAGTATTAGTAAAATTACATTTTACATTTTAAGATACTGGTCAGTGTTACATTTTCTGTTTCATTGTCTCCCTTCCCCCATGTTCCTTTGAACAGTCAGTTCAGTGTTTTCAGTATGACTGACGATACCAGACGTGTTCGGGCTTATCCTTCATGTTGTGCACTTCCTTTCCATTATCACCTGATCTTTTTAGCTCTGATTTCACTATTACTTGTAAAATGTTTCTGCCAGGGAGTCTGAAGAAGAAAGTATGCACAGGAATTTACCCTAGAGAGGCATGTGACAAAAAGGTGATTGTATTATTAGCATGAGAAACTGAAGTATAAACGGCATCCCAGACTGGGAGCAGGAGCTGCAGTCTCTGTTGCTGACCCTGCATCTCCTCCTCTGGCTTGCTGCTTGCTGCTGGGACCCAGGGGCATCCCCAGATGTTTTGTGTGCCCCATGTGAAAAAATGTTTCACCGCACAGTGAGAATTGGCTTTGCAGATGGGGAATCCATCCTTTCAACTCTGTCAGGAAAGGGGAGAGAGAAAGGAACAGTAGCCCAATCGTAGTAACTAGCCCAACCCTGAGGTAATTTTTAAGTAGCTTTATAAACTGCCAACCCCATAAAAATTCACAACCAGAAAAATACTGCCCTGTGAGGGTAGATGGAAGAAGGAACCAGGCAGTTGGGGTAGCATATATAGGAGTAATAAGAATAGGTAAAAGGTGATGATGATGATGATGATGTCTGTTTGAAAGAAGATGACTTGGAGGAAAAGAAGAGAACTATTTAAAACCAGATTGAAGTAAGGGCTGTACTGTAAGCAGCAGCAGGAGGGCACAGGGATGGATGACAATTGGTGCAGGAAGGCAAGTGGGGAAGAAGCAGAACTTCTGGAGCAGTGCTCAGTGAGTGGTGATCCCCACTGGAGCAGGAGCAGACAGGAAGCAAAGAGAACTCCGCAGTGCAAAAATATGTGTGTTTCATTCTTGTGCCAGAAACAAGTGAAGTGCAGTGGGTGTTCCCAACCTGTTGGCTGGCCTTTCTGTACAAGCTCCAGGAGTGTCTGCAGGAAGCTTCAATCATAGATCAGGAAGTACAGCCTTCCTGACTTGCCTTGCTGGCAGCTATGAAGCTGGTGATGGTAAAATCTGCATAAAAACCTTATAATGTGGCCTATTCCAGATTAAAAAAAAAAAATTCCTTATAGCCTAATATTTTTCTTCATTTTTCTTGCATTTTTGAGGTTCTGAAACGGAAAGTGTGTAAGATAGTGATGGACAGTGCTCTAATGCCATTTCCTGCTGCCTGCTTGCCTAGAACCCAGCAACTTTTCCTTCCCCTGCTTCACTGCAGTTGTGTGGTGGACTTTGTTCATGTGCCAGGGCTTTTGTCGCATGACTCTGACCATGTGCTTTGTGGATGTACTTCCAGTCATGTGAAGTAGAAGTATTTAGGCTTGTGGCTCTTCTTCATAGTTAGTATATTCCTCATCTGGCCTCACGATACTTTTAAACATACACTTTCCAACTGCTAAAAGAAAGCTCAGAAAAATCTGGAATGAAATTTAAAAAAAAAAGTGTTTTTCTCAATTTTTCCACTCTCATATTGCTAATTCACTAGAGATATAGAGTACTGGGGTGAGGGAGAAGATGGGAAAAAAACCTCTGTCTTGTGAAGGTAGTGTCAAATCTGTAAATTTCTTAAGTTTGGTGAGGAAGCCTTTGTTCCATCTATTTCTAGCAGTAAAAGCTGGTGCAACATTCCTGCATTACTCTTTGCATCCAGAAGTCATTACCCTAAAATGCTGGTGGACTGTTCATATGTTGTGTGTACATCTTGATGCCACCTTAGAAAAAACACTTGTCAAAATCTCAATTATGTCTTTCATGTTTCATTGCTTTTCTACTATATGATTTTCAAGTTGGGTCCATGGGCTGGCTTTTCTGTTTAAGATTTTAGTTTCCTGTGTAAGGAAATGTTTAGGTTTCATCCACCACACATTAATTCTCTTAGAGTCTAATTTTCAGTTTAATAATTGATTCATTAATTTGGAGCAATGCCATAAAGAGAAATTTTAGTTCATTTACATAATTGAAATTTAATTCAGTGCTTTTATTTTAAGGGCAAAGGGAAGAAACCCACATAAGATGTTGGATCTCAATATTTTATGTCATGAAGGATTTTGTTTTCCACTGTAGCTTAACTACCTTTAACTTCTAAATTCATATCATCATATTAATCCTGTAGAGTAATTGAAGTAATACAAGTAGAAAACTGTTCTTCTGTTACTCCATTTCAGATGCCCATTTGTACAACACATTTCATTACTGCTGACTCTTGTACCATCTGTATTTGTATCTGACTGTCCTCCACTTCCTCCATTGTTAAGCTTGGGTCAAATCACTGGGATGCAGCTGAATTATGTGACTGATCCAGCTTCTCACATAAGTGTTCAGAAATGGTTTAGTTTATTTCCCTGAAACATTTTATTTCCATTTCAAGGTAGAACATAGCTTATCCAGCTGAGCTATATTAATGTGAAAGTCCACAGTCCTTTTGCTCTCATTTTTCACAGTATGTGAAACACGAAGCAAAAATTCTCTGCAGCTTTGTGGCATTGGAAACCAGAAAACAGAGGAAAGCTAGGAATCAAAGTCTGTCAATTAGAGAATTGCAATGAGTCATGGATATGACTTAATTT